GGGATAGTTGGATAGTGCTAACTGGATTCTGAGTATATGGTGGCAGGAAACAGTCACAGTGAAGGAGTTCTTTAATTTTTTTCAACAAGAAAAGTATAATCATGAAACTTGGGTTTGAGGGAATTTAACCTGGCACAATTAGACAGGTTACAGTGGAATAGAGCAGAGACTAGAATCCGCAAACCTAAGTAAGAGGTGGTTGCAATTACCAGAACTGAAGTGACTGAAGAGTAAGAGTAAGGGGGTGAGTGGTAGAAATATTGTGTTAAAAAGACATAGTAAAAAAACATCTTAAATAAGATCAGAATCTGGGCCAGGAAGTGGTCCCTTGGAGATAATTATGATTCTCACCTTTGTCGATTAAGCTTATAGCATTTTTTAATTTCAAATAATCATTATATATAAGCATATTCTAGTCTAAAAAGAACATGTAGAATAAGTAAATGTAGAAATCCATTCCAGGGCGCCTGGGTGGCTCAGTTGGTTAAGCGACTGCCTTTGGCTCAGGTCATGATCGAGTCCCGCATCGGGCTCCCTGCTCGGCAGGGAGTCTGCTTCTCCCTCTGATCCTCTCCCCTCTCCTGCATTCTCTCTCTTATTCTCTCTCTCAAATAAATAAATAAAATCTTAAAAAAAAAAAGAAATCCATTCCAATGAATAAAAACACATATTTGTATTATCTCTTAAGACATAAGAGCTGCTTAATGCTGGTATTGTAAATTTATTGCACCACATGAATGTACTAACTTGAAACAGCAAGTTTTGCCTTATTCCCTCAAGATCAAAAGATTGCTCTCAGGAAGTCCCCAAAGATGTGAACTCTCTGGAGGAAATACCATGCACATAGCTCCCAGAAGTGCACATTTGAGTACCATTAGCAAAGGAGGGGTGGTTTGCCTCAAATTTCATGGGAATATATAAGGATAAAGGTCATTGCTAAGGCAGCCAGACAATCCACCCAGGGACCCAGTGTCTGAAGTCAACAGTTCCTATAATATGTGGAAACAAAATAAAGAGTAATACAGATGGTAGCCTGCATTTACAATTTCCAGAAGGAGCTGAGCCACTGAAGCCACTTATGAAAATCAGCCACATATCACATCCTTGGAAGAAATCCAGCTTGAAGCCCAGGTAATACTGGCAAAAGAGACACCTACAAAAACATGGTTTGAAATCTCATTATGAAAAGCAGGTGGGGAATAATTGCATGTCCTCTCAAGCTAGATGTGGAATTATAAATGTAAAATAGTGATTACTCAAACTTTTTTAAAGGCTAATGTCCCCTTCTGAAGATTACACTGAGACCCTGACCAAAAATATCAAGAGGAAAAATTATTCACACCATTCAAAGCTTGTGGTATTTCAGTGACCTTTAGAGCTGAGGACTCTCTCTGTACTTTACCTCAAGCCAATTTTCTTTTGCACAGCCTGGTACCAAAAGAAGATATTCTCAGGCAGGCTGATGCTGTGGGGAAAAAAAAAAAATTAAAAAGCAACAAGGTTCTACTAAGGACTCTGAGAAACAAACTGAGGGTTCTAGAGGGGAGGGGGGTAGGGGGATGGGTTAGCCTGGTGATGGGTATTAAAGAGGGCACGTACTGCATGGAGCACTGGGTGTTATACGCAAACAATGAATCATGGAACACTACATCAAAAACTAATGATGTAATGTATGGGGATTAACATAGCATAATAAAAAAAAAAACAAACAAGGCTCTTAGAAGTCATTCTAAATGATTATTCTAAAAGACCATGACATTCCAGTACAATGTCTCCTGCTTTCGAGGTGTGTGTGTGTGTGTGTGTGTGTGTGTGTGTGTGTGTGTACACAGAGCGATCTATCCCGTCAGCTGGCTAATACATAGAACTCTAACATTATAGTGTCTTAGATAACTTTATGTTCGTTTTCAAGAACAAAATTTATGGTTGCACTTTTCCCTGAATAAAAAGCTTCTAATTTAGTTACCTTTCTCACTGTCAACTTTTTTTTTTTTAAAGATTTTATTTATTTATTTGAGAGAGAGAATGAGATAGAGAGAGCACATGAGAGGGGGGAGGGTCACAGGGAGAAGCAGACTCCCTGCCGAGCAGGGAGCCCGATGCGGGACTCGATCCTGGGACTCCAGGACCATGACCTGAGCCGAAGGCAGTCGCTTAACCGACTGAGCCACCCAGGCGCCCCTCTCACTGTCAACTTTTATCAATTTTCTCTCACTATGAAATGAGGTTTAACCATAGAAAGGGATTATGCTAGTGTTATTCTTAAGGCTGAGGAAAAAAAAGGTAAATGTTGGGCTAACAGTTGTAATTGTATATATTGACATTATTTCAGACCAAAATTGGGCTTTTTCATTGATTTTTGGAGACACTCTAAAATTTCTAGGTTGTTGAGATAGACCCACTATGACAATGAACCTTGGAAAGGAGCCCTAACCATACCGTCACCTCAGCAGAGCATTAAGAAATAAAGAAGACTCCAGGCCTCAATTTATTAGCAAGAAATAAGTTTTGAACATTTCCTATGGGTAACACTGCCAAATACTGTGGACCACATCCAAGCTAGGAAGATATTGTCCCCACTCTAGTGGAGTTTATTATTTTACTTTCATCATTTTCTTAGGCCTGGAAAACTATAATCCTAAATGAAGCCACAGGACTAATAGCTGTATTAACAACCCCAGCTCATTAGTAAGGCTGTGGCCCAGGTACCCAGGGGAGAGAGCTGTAAAAGGAACCTTTCTCTTCTCCCTGGCCCTCCCCAGCCTGCCTCCCCTAAATATAGAAACATCTGGAATTTTATATCAAGCTTATTTGAATCACTGATGAAAAGAAATCATACAATCATCTCCAAGTTGATGACTGAACCTTCTGGGTTACACAGAAAAGTAGAAGTTTATAACTTTATACAGTGCAGAAAATTGCATACAGCCCTGAAGCAGTTGGTCAGTTTAAGTTAATAACCTACTTAGGAAGGCGGAGTAAAATGCACACCTTTTCAAAGCCCAGGTATGTCCCCACCAAAAAGCTGTGGGGTATATTTACTTAAATGCAAATTATATGAAGTGTCTTAGTTCATAATTGTTATGAAACATACATGAATCTTGTATAGTCAATGTACTAGGTATATTTGATTTTGATATAAAAACAATAGGCAAAAACAAATTTATTTTAATGTTTGCTATTTTGCAATGCTGTCATAGTAAACTCTGTGTTCAGGGATGGGTATAAATAAACTAAGCAGTGCAAATCTTATTCCTTTGGGGCAGGCCTTTTGCATTGTAAAAACAGTACCACACGATTTGCACAAAGCCTTGCGTACCTACCTTTCCACATCTTTATGCTATCATAACATGGCTTTGGAGAGGTGAAATCCAGGAGTTTTGACTATGCTTATATATCTACAGCCTAATATTGTATGTGAAAAAGTAAACAAATCAGGAATATGTATTTAATTTGGAAGCCTAAATTTCTTTGTTTTATGAATATGCAAAACCCCACCTGTTCTAACTTTGCACAAGATTTAAAAGAAGGACAACACTGACATGTTGATGGACTGACTGTGTTCTATCATTTCCTGGTTAGGGCACTTTCACAAATCCCAACATATTCACTGAAAGATTTGCCTGCTGCCACAGGTAGCCAACCCTGCTTATAAAATTATATATATTCTATATGTATA